TAGAACTATACCTAGGTATAAAGATAAAGTAGATAATAAAGAAAATTTTATACTTAAACTTACCTTTTCTACCTCTAAAATACTTTTACTTCTTTACTTATCTTTACCTATCTATAACTACTTATTATATCTTATATATAATAGGCACTAAATATACTACGCTCTAGCTAGAAAGATACTACACTAGCTAGTTACGCTAAGTAACTTAAAGATATAGCTATAACTCTTAGAGATAAGAAGCTATTACTCTATCTATTCTATAAGATCTTATACAACCTTATATAAAAGTTTCTTAAAGATATAGATAAGTAAAATATTAGTAAAGATCTTAGTTTTAAAGATGTTAATAGTGTCTCTAACAACTCTTTAAAAGTTCTATAGAAGTAGATCTAGAGTTAGAAGTACGTATTTACTAAGTTTAATAAGGTCTCTAATACTAGAGTATAGGTAAATATATTATAGTTAGTGTATTTCTACTTTCTATTACCTGCGTCTAAGCTTTACTAATAGAAATAGATCTTTACTATTATTTTTAGTTTTATAATAGTTATAGATAACTAAACAAAGTAGCTATATTAGTAATATATACTTATCTATTTACCTACTTAATAAAGCTCTTAACTAGCTACTTTTAATTTGCCTAGTTCTATATTAAAACTATTTATTTATATCTCTATTAATACTAGTTATAGAATATATAAGCGTTATTAATCTTTCTTTATATATATATAAAGCTAAGATATTATTATAGCTTTTATAACTACGTATAGATAGCTATATAAAGTAATATATTACTATATTATTATCTTAGTTAGATTATAGTTTCTACTTTTATTAATATTTATCTTATAAGTAGTAGTTTAGTACTTTTATAGCTAACATTTAGACTTATATTATAGTAGTATTTACTAATAGCTCTATATCTATTACTTACTTCTATATTCTACTCTACTTACTAGATAATCTTCTTATAAGAACTTCTTTATATAATAATATACCTTTTTGTATAGCCTTTATCTTTATTACTTTTATTACTTTTACAATTATATTAGATATATTTACCTACTCTATACTATACGTTATTAACTATCTTAATAATATATCTAGTTTATAAATAGATACTATTATTTTACTTAAAAAGCTCTACTAGATAGACTTTTATACATTAGAGGTTAAATATTAGATTAGCTTAGCGTTTAATATTATAAGTATAGTGTATAGTTTCTAAGTTCTTTATATATGCTAATTACCTTATATAGACTACCTTTTGTATAATTATTAGAACTATATCTTTTTGTATTACTAATAGCTTTACTATTATACTTAATACTATTATAAATACTACTATAAAAGTCTATATAACCTCTGTTTATATTCTCTATATTATCTATAATATCTTTAGTATAGCTATTAGCTTTTGTTCTACTCTTTGTATCTAGTGCTAAGATTCTTAAGTTACTAATGCTATCTTTACTACGTTAGTTCTTATTATTATTATAATACTCTTACTTTAGATTTAGATATTATTCTATATAATTAGGTTTCTAATTACTATAAGTATATAGCTTATTATAATAGTTATACGTATAACTCTAAAGTAGATAGTTATCTTAGTAGGTACTATATATATTACTAGAATAGCACTTTACTACTCTTTACTTTAATTAGTAGCTCTAAGTTAGTAATAAGTTATACTTAGTTATAAAGTAGTAATAATAGAGTAATAATAGAGTAATAATAGAGTAATAATAGAGTAATACAAGATGCAAGATGTAAGATATAAGATGTAATACAAGTAGTTTGTATTAGAAAAACGCTTAGAGAATTAATTATTACTTTTAGTTAAGGTATAATGTAGCTAAGGCTGTATTTAATACGTAATTTAAATGCATTAAGTATGTGTTGTAAGTAACAGTATATATATATAGAGATAAGTATAAGGTGTAAGGCCTCTGCAGCCTGCTCGCGAATAGGTGCAGGTAGGTTAAATAATGTAGAGCTTAGCGCGCTAAGCCTCTAGCGCTGCATTTAACACGTAAAAACATTTACTTCGCATACTAATCTATGGGCATAATCCACTGCAATGGTAGTGTGTGAGAAGTCTGGCTTATATAATCAAGATGACAATCTGTGAGTGAGAGGATGATCCCGTGCAGCTCGGACCCGTTACGCCACAGTCCGCCACGGCTTTACCTGACATCCACACTCTCACAGCCATACATTCTCCCGTCTCCAGTTCGCCAATCACAAGTTGCTCTTCCCTCGCAAACAACAACATGGGCACCACATGCTAGTCACGAAATCCCGATAGTCTGGAGTGACAGGCTGTCGGAACACGTCTTCAGGATCGAGGCCCCCAGAGCCGGAACCGCTGTCTGAATATCGGTGAGGTACGCGCGAATGCTACGTCGCACAACAGCCAACCAGCCGACAGCCACACGCAGCAAAGCGCTCAACGCCGATAATTGCACATGCTGCAGGGCGCCGTCGATAACGTCGCCGATCTCCACTGCTTCAAGCTACGAAGGCGAGTATGCTGTTCCGAGCATTGGTTTCGCGCTCATCCTGATCGACGGAGAACTCGCTCTGGGGCCAGATTCGCGAGCTGCGGTGGCGTGGAGACATGACTCGAGTCGACACGTGCAACGTTGAGCCTCACTCTTTGGTGATCTGCGTTGTGCGCGTGGATGCTGGGATGTGTTGGTGTTGACACCTCGTGGTTTGCGCTGATCTTTTGGTGGTGGCGAGTCGAGAAACGCTTTTCTCAGCTTTCACCGGGTGTTCGCGATTCCAACGCAGCGCAACGCAATCGACGCAATCGCGTCGTCATAGACGGTAACGAGATTTTCTGCTGCAGGTATGGTGTCTACCGGGATATCTGCACGCGCTGACAGTACGCCTCTTGGACTGCTTTTTTTCTCTCCTGCATTCCACATACACTGGTCGAGCCGGAAGCGGTAATCCATACATGGACGCGGGGAAATTTCGCCGTCTCTTGTCATGTTCGAGTACGATGCTAAGGCGTACATACATGATCGTAGACTCCGTAGTGTGTCTCTATCTCGACTAATCGGTGTAGACTATGTTGAAGCGGGAGAGGTAAAGTAACACGGCGTTTGTGTGCTGATCTGGCCTGATGACTGCATAGTGTATGTGCAGATATCTAGCTAGTGTAGCCAAGACCTTTTCACGATTATGCATGTGCAGAATCTGGTACACGGGCGCGTATGTCGCTAGTATGCGTCAAATACCTCAGAATAGCATGGCCGGTAATAGCGTAGGCCCAAGGCTGCGTTGAATGGGTAGCTTCCTTCCACCCTAATCCGCAGCAACTAGAACCAAAACCAGGCACACCGCCTACAATGAAGTTGAAGTACTCTTTGTCGAAACTGTGAGGTATGCCTTGAACGACTGTGTTGAGCATCATGAATACACTTCGATGTTACAGCGGTCCTCAAGCGACGGGTAACTTGGTCCCCACTTCCCTGCGCTTCGAAGACTGTACGTAGAAACTGTGTCGCATTCCTAGGTAGAAAAGAAAGATAGAGCACCCTGATATTCCCGTGCTGTAAAGCAGTCACAGCACAGACGCGAAAAGTTTGTGGGCGCATGCCGCTCATCGAGACATAAAGGTGATGGATGGATTGCCGTTCACCCTGAACGTTTTGGCAAGGCTGAGCTGGTGCCTAATCGTCGCAAGAACGCGGAAAGGATCGGAGTAAGCACAACACCTGATGCTGTTGGTCGGCTGTCCGACAGTGCCGATGGGGCTTCTCCTCATCAAAGAGAGTGTTTATAAAACCATGTTCTATCGTGATAATGATGGTAGTTAGAGTGCGCACGTCCGATCCGATTTGCCCGTAAGATAGAATACCACGGCACACCTATTTGCCGAGTGTACATCACAGGATATCCCATCATATCATACACAGCTATGAGCATAGAAGAGCATGGAACTACCACTCACGGAGAAGATACCCGCAAATGTCGATACCCCTTAGGAAATGATACCTCAGGCACACTGACGCTTCCCGACGGGCGCAAGCTGGGTTACGCACAGTACGGGTCGCCTTCTGGCCATGCCATCTTTTATCACCACGGACTTCCAGGGTCTCGCATCGAAGCAGCTTCGTACCAGGATATCGCTCTGGAGCTAGGCTTACGGATAATCGCGGTCGATAGACCTGGAATCGGCTTGAGCACGCCGCATCCCCAACGAACATTGTTGGATTGCCCAAGAGACCTACAATGTCTCGTCGACCGTCTGCAACTCGAGAGCTACTCTGTTCTGGGTGCATCTGGAGGAGGCCCCTATACTCTTGCGTGCGCAGCAGCACTTCCAGCTCCGCAGCTCAAATGCGTATCCGTTGTATGTGGGGTCGGACCAATGGACATTGGCATGAAGGGAGCAGACCTCCAGCACCAATTTGGCTTCCCGTTCGGATGGAAGCACGCGCCCGTCTTTCTCATCAAATGGTTCTTCAGCCGCGATGCTTTTGGGCGTATGGATCTAAGCGACGAGGAGCGTTTACAGCGTGTGCTAGACCCCTCAAAGCTCGCCTCAATCAAGGATCCAAGGGATCGCGAGATCATGGCAGATGAGGACCTCATCCGCCTGATATTACGATCAACTCGTGAAGCGAGAGCGCAGGGTTTCGACGGTATAGCGTTGGATGGGCGAACGATATGTAGTGACTGGGGTTTCCGGGTCGAGGACATCAGGAAGGATCTGCCGGTGCAGTTGTGGTATGGCAAGGATGACTGTTTCGTACCTGCCCATCATGGAATGCAGATTGCGGCGAGGCTGGGCGGTGACAATGGAAATGTCGTTTTGAGGGTGGAGGATGATACGCATACGACCATCTCGCAGAGGTGGAAGAGGGCGCAGCTTGAAGCTATTGCTGCCGTGATGCAGGGGTGAGGCCCCGGTGGTGCCAAGCCCGTGCTGCCTCGGCAGACCCCACTCTAGCCTTGCACCTCGGATTATCATGAATCTACACTCAATCATCAACACCATGTTCTTCGTCCCGGACGTTCCAACCTGTCCTTCTCACCAAACTTGCTCGTCCGCCTTGCTTGCGGGTTCTCTTCTCTTTCATTTGTGTACCTTCAATTTTCTGTTTCTGCGCCGCATTCTTTTCCTTGGGCTTCATGAGCCCGTAGTACTCGAACCATGATCTTACATACTCCCAAAGATCGGTGGCCACTGCCCAGGGCCTTCTCCCGTACACCAATCCGAGTGCGACCACAACGCAAACGGGTATGCCGATAGCCCAGAGTTGCCAGAACTGTTTTCTACCAGGGCGAAAGTCGTCCCCCATGCTGAAGATGCCAGCAAGCAGGGTGAGCGGGAAGACGATGGATGCGAACAGGCTGAGACGAAGGCCGAACTCGCCGTCTGAGACGCCTCTGAACGCCGCCCGAAGATTCGCGAGATCGTTTGAGACAGAGTTCAAGGCTTCTGCGCGATCGCGCAAAGGCTGCATCCTTGTGTGTATTGTAAGGAAGTCCTTCTGCGCATGCTTGATCGCTAGAGACGCTTCTTTGGTGACAGTTTCATCACCTAGCTGAACACCAAGACGCTCTAGGTTGAGATACATAGCGCGCCAAAAGTGATTCAAGTGTCGGCGCATGTAATTGATGTCCTTCGCAATCTCATTGATCTCCAGTAGGTCAGACTTCCATTTCTTTTTGGTCAAATTGTCGTCGATTTTGGCTTGGTAGTCATCTGCGAACCATTCAGCCCTCGCAATGGTGGTATTCATGAGCTCAAGTTGATTAACCCAGTGTTGCGCAACATGTTTCAAGAGGTAATAAGCAGCATTGGATGACTTCAGGTTCGTCTGCTGGATCAAGTCTGGAGTGGCAAGCTTGGTCCAGTGGAATGCTATTTCTTCCATAGCACTGGTAAGATTTCGCTTTTGTTGGAACATTGGAAGATTCATCTCTTTTGTACCCAGACCAACTTCGGAGAACATGAGGGGAGCTAATGTAGAACATCCGTAGTGGTACGGCCAGCTCTGATGAGAGACCGCTTCGAGTTTGGGGGGTCGAGATGAATTGTGGTCTTGTGCTTTCCAGAGTTCCGACCGGTCGGGGAAGATTGTGGGATCTTGTAGGATCAAGCAATCATCTAGAGCTTTGCGTGCACTTGGATCCAGTTCAGCCTCGTGATTTTTTAAGCACTCGCTTGCAGCCACACCCGTCGCCCGTCCGCCGCTGGCCGACTCCGTCTTTGGCGGCTCGCATGCGGTAGCAAAGGCGGGATCTACTAGGATGACAGCTAAAGTGGGTGGCCGTCAGCAGTGATCTACCAGATAACATCGTCTCAGAAGCCTTACCATCCCAACCTTCATCGTTCGCCTCTCCATCTGAAGGAGAAGTCTGTGATGTCCAGAACGAAGCGCACCGTCTCACAAAAGCATGCCTTCGATCAGGGGTGCCTGATGATGGTACGTCAATATCCCGCCACCTCTCGTATCTCCGACGATTCACTGCGAACGACGTCTGCAGTTTCAGAACATTTACCGACTTGGCACAGAGCAAAGTCCGCAGTTCGTAGTAGCGCAGCGTGAATGACTGCCCGGGCACTGACATCGATGGCAATCCTCTATGTGGGATGGACCAGGAGTCCGTGAACTAAAGATGAGTGTACGAAGTCAGTGTCTGTCTCACATACAGTTCGTACATGGATATTACTAACGTTCCAGGTATTCATCTGCTCGCTGAAGACCAGAGGGTCGACGCCTAGATGATGGCCCAGTGCATCCACATAGTCCGGTTCCATATCTTCAAGAATGAAGAGCCGCTTGTGTCTCTCCTCACGGCTCTTATTGGCTGGCTTCTCCTTGAGGTACTCCCGGAGCACAGCAGCGCTCTTAAAGCCACCTTTTTCCACCTCCACAACGCTTTTGGCCTTGAACTCCAAGCAATAGCATCGACCCGGCGTACGTTGATGCTCTTTCTCGTAGTGTTGCCTGACAGCCTGACGGCCGGCTTCTCCCTCGTTTGCTAGCTTTTCCAAGAAGGACTTGAGCGCTGGGAATGCATCCTCGAGCGTGTCGAGACATTGCAGATAAGGCTTTCCTTCAAAGCGGGGAGGAGGACTGGTACGTTGTCCGTTTTGTGCCGATGTGTCAGTCATTATGATAGGATCTTTGGAGAAATCCATCTTGATAGCCGGATGATAATACAATGAGAGCTGACAAATACTTGTAGCGGGCCAAAAGAGCAGGCTGAGAAGGAGGACTTGCGCGATCAGCTCCTTTTCTTGACCGGATGCTGACAGGATATAAAGGCGCAGCTCAGCGCTGCGTTCGAACCCCCTCGCGCATGGTAGCTTGCATACCAGTTCCTCTGGATTGGAAACACGTTCTCAGTGATGCGATTACGTCGCTGTTCTCAGCAAGATTTCGGTGTTGCGGCTGAGCATGCTGCGCCCACCGTGGCTGCCTCAGCTGATAACCCCGCATAAACTCAGCCGCGCTTCCACATGGTACCGGAAGCAACGATACTCTTCATCGACCTTGACCTTTCCTTCGCAATCCTCGTGCTCGGGCCAGAGTCAAGTCTCAAGCGATTTACCATGGCGACTTCAACTTCATTTTCCCCGTCAAGTATCCTGGCGGATGACCCAGTCTCGCAGCTGCGGAGTATAGTACAGCCTTCTCCCACCGATTTCTTCGAACACGAATCACTCGATCATTCGCAGCCTTCCATAAGGCTGCTAAAGATATCACCAACGCTGTCAGCTGAAGGCCTCGTCCAATGTTCCATATCGCATACGACCATAGACTATGCGCCCTATCGTTGCTTATCGTACGCGTGGGGCGAACCTGAACCGAAACAACTTGTACTGATGAACGGAAAACATTTCTTCGTTCAACCGAATCTCTTCGAATACTTGAAGGTCACCAGAGCCGATCCTGAGCGTACAGCTCATACATATTGGATAGACGCTGTTTGTGTTGATCAAGAGAACACAGTCGAACGGAATCACCAAGTCATGCAGATGGGGAGGATATACTCCAGGGCCGAAACGGTCATTGCATGGCTGGGACTTGCGTCGAAAGAGACAGTTCTACATTATCATGGAGAACTACAGCTGAGGTACAGTCATCCTTCTACTTGGAAGGAAAGAACACCCGTGCGGGAGGCAAGAAGAGCAGTAAACAATGATCTACTCGGCAACGACTATTGGACCCGAGCATGGATCACACAAGAGCTCAAACTTGCGCGCCGCATCGCCGTTGCAATTGGGCCATTAACGATCACAATGCATAGGCTTCGGGTATTGCTCCGTGGCTTGCCTGGGAATACAGATGAAGCAATCGGTCGAGTTTTCGCGCTCATTAGCAGTCAAAAAATTGTCGGAAACCCTCTAGCAAGCCTTCTGTTAACATTTCGTGACAAGAAATGCAGCGTTGCCAGAGATAGGATCTTCTCACTACTTGCACTATGCTCCGAGACAAATGCTATCACAGTCGATTACGGTTGTTCGGGTCTTGAACTGGTGTACTCCATCATGAAGAGCAATGAGCATACCCTCTGCGCTTGTTCCACTCTCGTTTTTATGCAAAGCCTGGCGCCTGAAATTGACAACCTTCAGCCCAACAGCGATGGCCGAATCAGGAAGGGGTCGTATATTGAGATCGAGACAAACGGGACTGATTGGGTACATATAGGGGAGGGCAATGGATGCGTCGTTCTTAACTACATTTGTTCTCGGGCCTTTGCGACCAAAGACACGAGGTTACTACCTGACGCGAACTATTGTGGGCAGGAGCATATCAAGTCGCTTACAAAAACGCCCACGCCAACCAATGCGTACTCCGCGGGTTCAATAGAGCCAAGAGATACGCAACCTCTTGGTAGAAGCGTTGCTGCGATCGGCCCAGGGCGGGCAAGAATCAGGATATCTCTATGGTCCCTCTTTGATCTGTACGGTAAGGATAGCCTACAAAAGAGACGAGTCCAGCTTTGCCCAAGGTCATGGACCGGGACTAATGGATCCATGACTTCAATTCGTGTGGGTTATGGCAGTTGGGATATTAACGCTGCTGGGTCTGCACCAGAAGAGTCGGTGTTCTGAAGACGAACCCGCGAGCTAAATAATATACGCGTTCGTAGATACTAGACTACAGCATTAACGCATACACTATCGAACACATTTGCTCACTCCAAGCTCTTAAGAATAGCAGGCAAAACCTCCACCTCCGTGAAATCCCAAATCGTGCTCGAACTCCCCGAAGCCCAATTCGCTCCCGTCCAAAACGTATTCTTCATACCTTGCAGAGCCACAAAGCGCTTGTAGAAGCCGTTCTTGATCTCATCGACTGATACGCTCAAGGCGAAGGGCGAATGGTTATTGCTAGCCTTTATTATCGTAGATTGATTGGCAGGGGGTAGATCAAGCGCATCGCGTATTCTCCGGACCGTGGCGAGGACATCGGAGGTGAAGTAGTCGTCCGAGGCTTCCATGGGAGTGGAGTACTGCACTGAATAGAGGTTGTCGATTTCGGCGGTGAAATAGTATGCGCCTGGCAGCCCGGGGATACCGAAGGCGGCTTTTGCGTCGTAGTTGTACATAGAGACGCCCTGTGGGAAGCCAGTGTTGGCCACAACTGCGTTCCAATATCCGCTGCTGTTGAAGCGAGAGAAAAGGTCTGCTTCCTCCGTGTTCAAATCCAGGAACTGGTCGAGGAGGGCGACCTTAGGAGGAATGGTCATAAGAAGTTTCTTTGCGCGAATGGTCTGAGTGCCTGATGGGGTTTGAGCGACCAGGGTGACGCATGACGGGCTGCGTTTGATGGACTTGATGCTGGCGCATTTCACGACAGAGCTGTTGCCCATCCCTAGTTTCTGTTCTGCGGCATCCCAGAGCGCCTGCTGGTTGTGGTTTGCTTGCGAGACTTTGGTCTTGTCTTTGCGTGCTGAGACTTGCATGGGATTGAAGAGCTTCATCACGTAGAGGGTAGGCTGGGCTAGGATGTTGCCCATGCCTTGGAATTGCAAGAAGCCATCATATGCCAGCGCACCCAGGTCGTATTTCCGCAGGAAGTCACCCCAAGGCATCAACAGGTCCTCCGGAACGGGGTCAGGGAGGTGGTATCCACGGAAGAAATCGTCTGGGTACTGCGTGAGAAGAGCCTGGTACTTATCCAGAGCTACAGCAGAGGTATTCGCGTCGACGACGGGCCATGAGGGCCCGACGACCGAATTTCGGAAATCGACTGCCTTGGGCTGGCCACCAGGCTTGAAAGGAGCTAGGGGAATGTTGAGGGAGTCGAACAAGTGTCGAACGGTGGTGGTATTGACGAGGACTTGGGTGCCGTAATCGAAAGTCTCGCCAGTCGCCGTGTCCTTGTAGGTGTTGGTGTGTCCACCCAGCCGGCACTCTTTCTCAACGAGCGCAACCGATTTTCCAGACTGCTGCAGCTGGATGGCAGCGTGAGTGCCACTGGAGCCTCCACCGACCACGAGCACGTCGTAATCGTATTCATTGGCGGTAGCCAAGGAAAGGAGACCGGGCGCCACAGTCAATAAACCTAGCCGCTGTAATTGTACCATGGTGGCAGAGGGTCTTGGGGAAGAAAACGAGAGGGATGTGGTGCGGGAAAGAAAAACGATGTGACTTTGGTACAAGCGATCAGAGGTCTTAGATGAAGCGGACCGAAGACGGGACGACGGCGCTATTCATCTAGTGTCGGCGAATATGTTTGTCGCCTCTACGATGGCCTCGGGGTATACAACAAGAGAGCTAAATTCTAGGTTTGACTAATAGTCTTGTTACTACATCAGCGGCTGCCCTACTCACCGCTTCCTCATTTGTAGCCAACGCGTGCGCGAATGCGAATTCGCCTCGACCTACGGCAGATCCATCACTCTCAAGATGCAACACTCCAGAAGCGGAAACATTTATTTAATGGGCTGGATGCTGAGTTCCACACCCATAGAGCTAGCAAAGGACGACCGAGTTCTGAGGCGCGTTCGCGCGGGTAGCATGGGACTTGCTTACGCGTCATTAGCCGGTTTTGAGTACGGAATGAAGGAAGCTGCGTCAACATGGTTGTTGTGTCGAGATGAAGTCGCGAGATGTGGCTGCCACAAAAGAAGTTCGGAGGCTGGAGACTAGGCGACGTGACGCGCTGAGATGCGATGTTGGGAGTGGGTCGAGGATCGTTACTCGACTCGCCTTACCAGCCTCGTGGGACTAGCCTTAAGACCCACTTCCATCACCCTAGTCCGGTGCCTGCAGGAAGTCGCAATAGACGCCGCCGACGTCTTCTGGTGATCGCACTTGAACCCAAAAGTGACGTCCCTGGTAATGCTTCTTGACAATTCCTCACAAGCTCGATGCAGGAAACATCAATTATCGAATCTTCACGACCGCAGGGAAATGGATGACTCCATGGAAACAGCAAGATTGAGGTTATAACGACCATCACTGTAGTAACCAAAGCCTCAGGTTGCTTCCCACCATGGGGCTTGTTTTCGGTGTATTGAGTGTAGTAATACTGCTATGCCATATTCTTCTATACTCCCATATCAGGAACGAAGAGTGAGTCTATAAATGCAAAGACACTCGAAACCAAGGATAATGCCTATGATGATAAAGAAGGATAGGGGTATACCAAAAACGCCGATAAAGGAAAGCTCCTAATCCCAAGAGTCTGCGGTGCGCCAAGTGTATCTACCGGTGGGATATGCAACAGTCGATGTCATCGATATAACCACACAGCTACTCCTGCAACTGGTGCGTGGGGCAAGCACCCCGGCCTTTCTTATCCCACCACTCCTTGATACAAGTCTGAGACACATGTTAGCACCTTGGGCCCATCGTACTGGGAAAAGGAAAGACAAACCTCATGGAACTTGCACCAGCAAACCAACCTAGCCATCTTGTCCCCAGATTCAAAGTCTTCCAGACAAATCGTGCACTCGGCCTGTCTGCCCTCTTCATCAACACAGTCCTTCTCAGTCGCGACGTACGGAAACATTCCACGCGCAGCATGGCTCATTCGATTTGCGTTACTGGCGCCTTCACCATTACCTGCACTGCTCATACCGCGGGTGCGTTGAGTGGGTAGGCTGGCAGATGTTTGCGGCGTGAGTGCAGCTGTTGGGCCTGGAGAAGCGGAGTGTAGGGCGATACATTCTTCAATGTGCTGG